TTATTGAGCCTGGTTTCATTTATCCAACAACCATAGCAAAAGCCTGCGTAATGGACTTGCTACATTACATGACACTTACTACGTATCAGTCGTTGTAACCTTGACCTGCTGGTAGTGCTCGTGCACGGCAGCCTCACCTCTGACCGAGTTCTCCAGGGCAGCTGTGGCTTCAGTGTAGCTCATCACCACCAGTGTGTGAACGACTGACTGTAGTGTAAAACGCTTTGGAGTCCTCAGCATAAAATCTGCAAATATGAGAACTCTGTAGATTGGATAAAAAGGCTGATTTTTGAGACACAGATTATAATTTAACACTAATTTAGACATATTAGCTGGTTGAAAAGTGAGCATATTAAATCAAAACTAAAGAGAATAACAATATTAAAATAATAACTTTATTGATATAGCACCTTCAATCTGCACAATCAGAGAACATAGCACAAATGAAGAAACAAAACAGCACCAATCAGATCGAATCATCAATAAAATCTAAAATTAGCCTAGAAATCCAGACCATCAGTTGCTGAAACAAAATGATTTTGCTCTGGAAGTATACACAAGCTGAGGTGAAATAGGAACAAATTAAAACAAGAAGTTAGTAAAAACACCTAAAACCCCAAATAGTGATAAAAAAAACATTAGTCCATAAAGCAGAGCGTGCCAGAATGCTGTTGAAATAAAAATGAAATTTTAAACTATATTGAGGTTTATTTTCAGGGTTTTTGGGGATTCCACCAGGATGTGTTCGTGGAGGTGAATTTTATTGAAAGTTGATGATTTTTCATGAAAACGTGTTGATTTTTTTGTACGGTTACATTAACAACGTTTGAGCCGCTCTGGTGGGATGAGGAACCCATCAGACGCTTTTGGATGAACAAGAGGCAAATTCTGGCAATCAAGCCAGATCCCCTTTGGTGTCAGTATTTCTGCGTCAGCTCAAAACTAAAAGCTAAACCGGCTCCAGAACCGAGATCCGTGCTAAATCCGTACGGCACTAAAATCCGAGGAGGTGACGTTAATTACAGCGGCACAGCTGCTCCTGGGTCAGCCTGTAAACCTGCCACCATTTTCCTGATTTTCCCTTTGATTGTTTCTGCCGTTTGTTCATAACAGTGAATAAAGTTAAAACCTAAAACCTCTTCATTTCTGATGTGTAACGAAAGGCCCGAGTATGTTGAGTGGGCCTTGGCTAATAGGATGGGGTGTTGGATTTACTGTAGCAGCGGATGGAAGATAGCTCATCTATTTTTTTATATCCTAATAATAATAAAAGTCAGAGGATGGATTTGGTTACTGACGATGGCAGAGTAGCTTCATCTGGGAGAGCTCACCAGTCCTAATTTGGACATGTGAGATTTATTTCTTCTTTTCTGCGTCCATTTAAATCCGTTAAAAGGTCAGCGTGTCGGCTGTTTTATTGGGTGGAAAATGAACAACGTGGCTTGTGGTGAAAAAGGATTCGTCCTCCTTACAGATTAGCTCTGTTGCTTTTTTTGACACTTCAAATAAACTTCAAATAAAACACCATTAAAATACCACCATCAAGGGATTGTTCATTCCTTCACGGTATGATGTAGTTAAAAGATCCCGGACGAGCCCCCATTTGTTACATCCCCGATATGAGTTGTTAAAATGCGAAGGAGGGGGGTAACATAAGAAATGTGACAGTGGATTTAAAATGGGTTTAATTGCCATAAAAGGTTTTAAAAACAAGCGAGCAAACAGATTGGGAGCATTATTAAAATAATGTCTAACAAAAATCAAGACTAAAAGGTTAACATTTAAAGGACGAATTATCAACATTAAAACCCCTGGTAAAAACAT